AATATATAAACTTGAACTTAATATATAAACTTGATGAGTAGTATTTCGAGCCAAAACGAGCCGAACACGAACAAACACATCTTAGGTGTTTGGCTCGTTAACTTATTATCAAACGAAATTAACGAGCCAAACACGAGCTTCTTAACGAGTCGAACACGAGCTGTTCGCAAATGAAGAGCCGTTTTGACAGCTCTACTTAAAAGTCTAGTTTTCATTAGTTTTATCTCCATATATCAAATGAATAAAAATAAAATTATTTCTTTACAAAAAAGTAATTTTATGTGCAGACATTCAAATGGATGTTGTTGATGCCCGAGCCAATAAAATCACTACTAACAATTACATACAAAACTTTGATAATTATCGCAATAAAATCATATGCTATATTCTCCACAGCCAAGAAACTAAGGTTAGTATCAGCTCATATCTGCATTTGGAACTCATGGAATTCTAATTTTTATTGACAGATGACAGAACTACATAGCAATTTTAGGTGGTTTTATAAAGCTTGATGATCTATAACTGTAATCATCTCTTTCTCTAACAATGGAGGTTTTCAATACAGCTTTGGTTCAGGAGAGAGAGATTGGCTTACCGCAAAGTGATTCAATTTCATCTTCGAGAAGTCGATATAAGTTCGCTTTAGTTCGTCGATACACCCAGGCTCTATTCGTCTCATCCCAATCAAATCGAGACGGTCCGCTGCAAGTAAAAAGGAATTAAGGGTGTAGAACTACCAGATTTATGCAAAAAAAAAAAAAAAGTAAAAGAAAATAAAAAGAAAATTAATGCCAGCAGTTTGTCATAAATTTATGTAGTGACAAAAGCTACTTTTGAGATCCAGATATACTGAAGTGTGGCAAATATAGCTCACAACAGTTTTAAAATCATCATAACAACTTCACATCTGCCATTACAAAAAGCTGCAACTGTCTCAAACGAACCCTAAAACACACAAGCTACTGCTTCATGTGACCTTTTGAGTATTTGCATTTCTTAACATAAGTTGTATCTAAAATGCGTACTCTCCTAACTATATCCTTTGATGGTCGACGTTTAATGTGAACAAGCCATCTAAGAAGGCTCACTCTAATCTTGTCTGCCACTGGAGCTACACCGACCCTTTCATGAATAAATTTAATTCACATTTTGTCTATAAGTGTCAAGCCACTCACCCACCTAAGCATTCTCATCTCAACAACACTTGTCTTATGCTTCTCTTTTAAAGGCCAACAGTCTACACCATAAAGCATTCCAAGTGTCACTTTCTTTGAGTCTAAACGGTACTTTTCTGTCAAACAATAGGCCAGATGTTTTCCTCTACTTCAACCAACCAACCTGAATTATACTATTAACACCCCCATCTATATCACCATCACTTTGAACAATGGACCCGAGATATCAAAAATATTCATACCTTTTAATGATTTGATCACCCTTTGTTATAACTCTACCACTAGGGCTACTACTACTAAAATTGCCTTCCATGTATTCAGTTTTAGATTTACTAAAACAAAGGTATTTAGACTCCAAGACATCCATTATTCAAAATTTTTTTTAACTCTTTCTCTAGTCTTATACATAAGAAGAATATCATTAGCGAGAAACATGCACCGAGATACATTCTCCTATAAATGTCCAATAAATACATCCATAACTAAAACAAAAAGATATGGGCTTAAAGGCGATTCCTGATTTCATCCAAGTTAAAGCCGATTCCTGATTTCATCCAATTGAAATAGAAAAATACTTGGCCAATACTTCTTCTGTTCGAACACAAGTAAAAACTACATATCTTTAATGACTTGAAAACAATTTCTTATTATCAATCCTCAAACTTCTCGTTATTTCCATCAACTTATTAAACAAGTTTGAAATAAATTTTTCTTTCATTTGAAATAAAATCTTCTTTCATTTTTATAGTAAATGAGTCAACTCATGTGCAAACTCAAACATACGAAATTGAGCTCAAAATTAAACTCGATTAATTAGTCAAAGCTCAAGCTCAAGTTAGGGGTGAATTAAACTTAACTCGATTTGTTTGCGTTCATAGTGCAGTCCTAATCAATTATATATAATTTTGATGCCGATATTTAGCAACTTATGCATAAAACTTTGACCGGCTGTATACTTTGGAGAGTTAAGGACCATTAAAAAGGAAAAGCGAGGAAAAACTGGGAGAGAAGCAATACCTTCTTCTCTAAATTCACTTAGCTGTCGACTTTGCGAAAGAAAGACTAAAGCTCTAGTCGTTTTATTTCCTACTCACGTCTTAAAGACGGTTATGATTCTATGGAGCTTGAAAGTCCATCCTTTAGAAGCAATATACATATAGAATTTATGGGATACATGATGCTATGAGGAAGGATTTACTATCTAGTGAATGTTTTCGTTTCAAATTCATTTTGTTACCAAATTAACCAAATTAAAAGGCACGAATATTGACGAGCGACCAAATGATACATTTGAGCAGTTGACAAGACAAACGTTATTGTTTATTGGTTATTGTTATAATAACTGACATAAAATAAGAAAAATTAAAATAAAATAAAATGAATTTTTAACGAGCCTATGTCAAAATTAGAATCAATCGCCATTTTCTTGACAGTTTCTTAGAAGGGTGTCAAAAATTGACCCGACATGCCAACACGACTCGGACTCACTCAAAAAATTAGGTGGACCCGAATATTTTTTGAGTTAAGTTCAGGTCTGAGAATTTGACACGTAAGAATTTAACGGGTTGAGGCCCGAGGATGACCCGAATAAATATGAAAAAATTGGTTGTGCTCTTAATTGTTATATCATGCTAGAGTAATATATAGATAAAGATTTCTTTTAATTTGCCTATTGTTACTTTTTAAATGTCAGAAGTACAATTTTTAATAAAAAATTGAGTTGACGGTTAAAAGGATCGGGTTCGGGTCAACCGCGTCTGGGTCGGGTTAGGTTTAACCGCATCTGGGTCGATTTTGGGTTGAGTTTTTTGATATGTTTATTATTCGGGTCGTGTTCGGGCTGCCCCAATTGGGGTCGAGTCATTTTCAAGTCGCTGACCTAAATTAACACCCCAAATTTCTTGTTTTAAGTATCGCTCAAGCGCCTGAGGGAAGAAATAGAAGAGCTAACAAGAGATAAAGATAGAGAATAAGAAGAGAAGAGTTGTGTGGATGACTTACTTTGTGAAGGAAGAGATAGACAGGGGTTACGTGTGAACGCCTGGCCGAGGCGAGCACAGAAAATGTGTGCAAAAGCGACATCACTTGCAGAAAGAATGAATCAAGCGATCCTTCCATTTTGTTTGTACATACGACGACATCAGCAAGCTGAAGAGTGAAGAAGGAAAAGGATGTTGCAATTTTGTGCGGACGAAACCGTCGTCGAGCAGACTAGGGTGACAAAATATTAAGGCAGTGGCGATCGGCATCCACATTTGAGCAGAAGAAAAGAAAAGACAAGTAGAATCGAGAACAGGGAGTAGGCACATGCGTTTTATATGTGAAAGGAGGAAGAGATAAAAGGTGTCTCGTGTGCAGCATTATCAAATATAGGAAGATTCTCGCTTTGAAGAAGAATTTTATGTCGTACGTGGAGAATATATATGTGTGTAACGTTTCTTACGAAAGGCACGTGCGTGATTTTGAGAGGGTGGGGGACCCGAACATATAATTTTAAATAATAATTAATGAATTTAATTTATATGTTTATTTAAATAGTATGTTTAATTAAATCAGCATTCAAACTATCCAAGTTTCAAATTGGAAGGAAAAAAGCCTTATGTGCTGGAAGCTTGACTTTTATGCTTTAAATATATAAATAAGTTCAATTAAAATGTTATTAAGGTATATTAAACTTTATGAATCAATTTCAATACTTTAGTTTAGACATGAAATTGAATTAAAAGGCCAATAAAAAACTAGATTGTATCATGCAAAAGAAGAAGAAATAAGAAGGTAAGATTAGTGCTTATTTGGTAATCATTTATAATCAATTAAATGATAAATTTTTACATATTAATGTTAGAATAATTTTTTCTAAATGTCAAAATATTATGAAATATACTCAGATGAGAAAAGTGAAGCTAAGAAAGAGAATGATGAAGGATTTGACAGGGATCATTTCTTAAAGTGAAATCAAATTGAGTACCCTTACTTATACACTCTTTTAGATGTTGGTCATATCATAGTAATGAATATACATTTTTAGAAATACTAATGTTATACATCATGTAAATTTATAATTGAATGAAAAGAGATATGGATTATATGTGTTTGTGTCTATGATTAATCATGATGGAATTCACCCCTATTAACTGTGGGGCATTAGGATACTCATGCACGTAAATGGAAAAGATTATTGATATTGATGTATCTTAAATGATACACTTTTAGATAATGCTCCTGTGACGGGTGTAAAAAAAATGATATAAATATGGAAAGGAAACAGTAAGACATAATTAATGTTTGAAACTACCTCGAATGATCATATTAGACAGTATAAATCGTTAAATACTCTTATATTAATTTATTTAAAGTTTGTCTGACATGCATGTTGAATTTTTTATTGTGTTGCTATAATTTAAAAGTAGAGTATTTACTAACTATTATGAGTATTTTTTAACTATTGTAGCTCATTTTATTTTAAATTAACATTTTAGGTTTAATTATTTGATGAAAAGATGAGTAATAATGAGGGGAATATCTACATAATACATGAACAACCTGAGCTAAGGTAAAAATTTAATTGCATTATGTCAATTTGTTTTTTATAGTAGCTCTTTCATTTGTTAATTATCAGTAATAGAAAATGAATATTGAAAATTTTCGTTTTTACTGTCCGACCATCTGTACTCGCCTTAGTTAATTCCAAGCTCCAGACCGAATCGTGATAAAAGTAGTATCAAAGCACAAGACTTAGGATTAAATAATACAATCTTGATGAAGGAACCAACATAATAATTACAAAAAATATAAAAATAATAATATTGAAAATTTAAGTTAACTTAAACTAAGTAATTATGTTAGTTTAGGCAAAATAAGCATCCGAGATTATTTGTAAGAAATGAAGTACCACCTGCTATTACTATGAACATGAATGCCTTAACCTAGAAGATAATGGCGATGACACAAGTGATTCAGGAGTCCAGACCACAGTTTAGTAAAAATGAAACAGTAGTTGTGAATAGTACATAAAGATGTTTCAGAATCTACATCCACCATTGTTTAAGGGAACCGAAGATTTGATTGAAGTGGAGAATTGGCTGATGTGAATAGAGAATATATTAGATAGTATGGCATGTCCAGATGAAAAAAGAGTATCATTAGCTACATTTGTATTAGATGGAAAAAATGAAAGATGGTGGTGTGGGCAACGTCAGGAAAAACTGGAGGACATACCCAACATAATGGTAATTTGGAAGAAGTTTGTTGGGCATTTTGTACCCATATCTGCTCAAAGATAAATGCACTACAAATTAACCAGATTGGTACTGTGAGAAAATGTATTCATGAAATACGAAGTAGTTAACTACACTGACAAGGTATTTGTCACAGTTGATCGCTACTACCGAAAAAATGCTCTAGATTCCTTTTTGAATTGAAGGGTTCGATCCGGCAATCATTGGCACCGTTGAAAATTAATTATTACTCAGTGTTAGTGGAGCGCGCTAGACGGGTAAACAAAAATTTTCATGTTATACAAAATCG